TATATATATATATATATAATAAGATTAGGCTAAAAAAAATAATAAAAATGATGATCTGTGATCGCGATCGAGTTACGCTCGATGGATTCTTGATGCAAGGAGACGAATTTTCCTCAGTGAACTACATATTGTACTCGTCCATTTCTAGATATATTTATTTCGATGTTAGTTAAGCTCTATAGATTAAGTGACTAAGTGATTTTTATACGTATTACGATATAAGCAGCGTTTCAAGTGTGCAAGCTTCGCGGGTATGTGTTTTTTTTTTTTATAATTTTGCAATGCAAGATTGTACAAACAAGTTACGTGAGCTATTACAGCACTGCTAATAATTCCCCGTTTATGGTTCCGTATTTTTCTAATGGAGAAAAAAATACAAAGAAAATCCATCTTCACGTTTTGTGTTTTGTGTTCGTTACACATACTTCTCTCGTCACTTAAGAGCCTAAATATAAGCTTGCAAAATTGATTTTTTTAATTTTTATAAATATTTCTATACATAAAAAATAAAATAAAATATTAATTTATGTGATACACGCGAAGTGCGTACGAACTATTCATCCCGCGTACTCGGATAGCATGATGTAATAACGCGATAACGTAATAATGTATTTCGATTCGTAAAGTAATCATAGTAAGCGCTTTTTTTTTTCTCAGAATCGAACGCATCAATGTAGTATGCCAGCTCATTGTAGTCTCAATTGAGTTAAATCTGCGTGACTCCGTGCCGGGTGTCTGATGCGATATATGTGACGAGCCTGTGTTACATATATCAAGTTTAGGCCGCACATTGTATCCGTAATGCCGCTTAATTAAGAATGGAGAATTGATCACATAATTTAGAACGAACTCCGCAAAGTCTCGGTCGGCATCCGACACGGCTAGAACGTAGTTAATGACGAGAACGAAATGACGGCCCTGGGTCGAAGCGATCCCTTTCGTTCCGCGTGTTTGCAACGGAACGTGTACGACGTGGACGAGAAATGCGGCATAACGAAATGTAGGTACGAAGCATTTCGCCAGGTTATAATCGGCGAGAGAAATTGGGAGTGAGAAATACGTGCTTATACCAGTAACGTAAAATTTTACGAACATATAAAATTAATCTTTGCTTACATTAGAAATATTATCGATTCGGCAAGAAATTGAAAAGAATTCGTACAGAAATTTATTTTAAATAAAGTCGCAAAGATCTTCAGTTTGCGAAATTTGCGTATTTTATTTTGGGAGGAATTCTAGATATATATATATATTATACGACCAATTTTTATTTCTTTTATAAATTTTCTCAAATTATTCATATTATTTCGAAGAGATGGCGCTCGATTGTAATAAAATTAATATAATTGAGTTTAAATAATGAGGATAAATTCTTCTTCTATTTTTCAAAGACACCGTATATGCTATCAGAGGAAACTAGACTTTGCTGTGCAGCATGTCTACGGTTTGAAACTAGTGTGGATGTGTAGGTGGGACCACTTCCCACATACGCGTAACTGGCACAGAAGCGACATTGTAACATACCTGTTGCAAGGTCCACCGCATCGAAGGGACAAAGTAAGCCATCGAAAAATTTCATGGAGAAGCATTTATCCCTCTGAAAAAAAAACAATATATGAGCACAATGTGGCGATAGTTTTATTAAGAGTACTCCGAAGTAATATGCTAATGTGCTCTTGAATGATCGTATTAATTGATTCCTCTGAGAAGTTTGCTCATGTCACCGTAAAAGGAAGAGATTAATTTATATTGGCGCCTGCTATTTGTGACTCTCGGCGCGCCTTTCCGCTATGACTATTTCATATCGTATAAAAAAACAGCTTTGTAGGCGTGTGCATACAATATCGTCAGAGGAGTAATGTGTTAGTGACATCAGGACTAATCATTCAGCCAGATCATGCGGGCAATAATATTGCTTACTCCATTTCCGTAACCATTATACATGAATGATCTATCGTATAATTAAATGTATCTCATTTCATACAATAGTAATTTATTAAATAAACATTTAAAAAATAAAATTCTTAAAAAAAGAAACAAATTCAATCCTTTATCCTGCTATCCCAATAGCGTGATTTTATTCATAAACTTAATCCGCGAATAAAAATCTTTATTTATTAATTTTTATTTACCTCTCCATCAATCTTTATCTTTTATTTCTAAAACTGGTTTTATATCAAGCAGTTCTCCCCTTTCGCGCTTTCTCTCCATCTTTCTTCTCGCGATAATCATAACATGCGGTATAGGAGATTTACCATAATAAATCCTAGTAATTCTAATAATCTTAATTCATTAACATTTTCTCCGTTCGCTATATATCGATGCAAGTAGCACCGCACAAAATCTCGTTCGTAAAGTCGTATTCGTGGGCGACGTATAAAGTCGCGGACGGTTCGTGTCCGCGCCTCAGTCGGCGGCCGTGCCTTCTGTACCCGCGCGCGTGCCGTCGTATCCGTCAGAATCCTCCGCATCTCGCGATTTCGAGAGAAAACACCGAGACGAGAAACCGGGACTGAACGGAGTTACAATTTACGGAGAGAAGACGTTCTCTTCGAATCTCGTCCCTTTTCTCTTCTTAAAAATTCCATCGCAGAAAGTTTGATTAATTCACGCGAAGTGAATCGGAAACGCGTCACAAGATGCGAGTCCTGACCGTGTTGATCCTCGGGCTACTAATCGTCTGCGTTGTCGAGGGTAGCGTCATCCACGACGAAGGTAAAGATTTCGATCACGCTGGAAAAGTGGAAAATATTTTTCGGTTTTAATGTCTCGACTATCTTGCATCGCTTCCGAAATTCAGATTCTCTTTTTTCGTTAATTAACATACATTCGTAGTAATTATATATTTTTTCTAATATTCTCTTTCATTTATTTAATAATCTAAATATTGATAGGATTTTTTTATAGAACTACTCTCCCCTCTACTATTACTACTATTACTTCTCTTCGATTTAGACGCGTTTGCATTATCGAAGACCATTCTCGGTGCGATGCTACAAGAAACTTGGTAGCAACGCGAGATCGGTGACCAATACTTGGTACGGTCACTCCATTTCTGTTCATACCGTATCAACAACGCGTGCAAATAAATTAAAACCGAGATATCCTTCTATTGATTAATATTGATTAAATTATATTCAATATTAATTATAATATTAAATCCATTAATTTCAACATATTCATTATTCAACGCGTGATATTATTTTTACATTATCCTACTTATAATATCTTTTTATTTTATTTCGACAGCCTTAACTGCGAGCCTGCAAGATGTGTGGTATGAAGATGAGTTTATTATCGCCTTGTCCAACATCAAAGTCAGGAAGAAAGCCGGCAATTCGGTTGAGACTCTATTGGCCATAAAGTATAAACAGACGAAAACCAAAATGGTGCTCATACTGGATCGACGAACAAAGCGCGGTGAGCCGACAAATTCTTTTGGATCACGATTCCCCTAATTTTTCATATCACAAAAAAAAAAACGTTGACCCTTGTCGTTCCAGTTATACTCGAGAGCCACGACAATAACGGCCGACGCAGCACCGCGTACGTCAACGTAGACTCCCTCTCGGTGAACACGCCTGTGAAGAACCTGATCATCCAGGTGCACCAAAAGCCACTCAATGCCCGCGTGGATGTGTACGCCGATTGCGTCTACGAGGGCTCTATACCGCTCAAGAAAACCTTCCGCAACATAGCCGAGAGCGAGGACAGCCCGTTCACAGAAGTGGTAAGAATTAAAAATATTTATTGTCAGACTGATATTCTTAGATAAAACGATATGTATGTTAATTCGCGTATTTTATTTATATTTGTTGAAGAAATTAAAAAAAAAAAAAAATACAAACGTGAATGTATTCATTTTGAATCGCTTCTCGAACGCTGAATCTAAAATTTCCATTCACATCTTTTTACTTATTGTTTTGCTCGATATTATTTTCCGCTGTCGTTATCTTTCCCCGCTTTTACGATTGCACGACGATTTCTTATTTACGTACCGTCCATGACGTCCGCAAACGTGGGACGACGTCTTTCCAAATATGGTTGACGAGGTCTAAGCTAGTTGCTACTTCTGTTACGTGCACCTGGTCGGTTTACCCAACTCAGCCACAACGGTCTCTGATTACTAGATGAATTGAATTCGTTTCAATAAATTCGTGCCCTATTTCTGTTACTGGCATTATTCCGATTTTATGCATTGTTACTCTACGATTTCTTTCTATTCTCATCTCGCAATTTACTAACAATAAGTAAAATTCGATATATTTTGACAAATTTCAAAAAATAAATATATAACAATATTAAAAATATTATTACATATATCATACAAATTTTTGATTTATAAATATCCTCACTTATTTTACTGACAATTCATTTAATTGGTGGTTGAAATTTACTCGATTAAAACTAATATTGATTCATTAATAAATACGCCGAAATTATTTTAGTTTAGAGAACGAACATGTCGGACGAAAGTGTATCACCTCAACATCATCGAGGTGCTGAAGAAGGAACAGTGTCCCGATAATCTAATCGATCTACTGCAGATTTCGATATTTGAAAATGCGCAACAGCTGAACCATACGAAAATTACCGATCGACCTGACAGGACCGACGGTGGATCGGATACATCGGATCAGAATAACAATTCTACACCGTCCATTGGCCAAAACAGCTCAAAACATCCCAATCATCGTCCGGATGACACAAAAATTCCCGGTCAGAAGAATGACCGCGATCGTCCGAATGATCGCGACCGACCAAACAAGAAGCCGCGACCTCCAGGAAGCAATAAAAAACCTCTTCCGATCAGTTCTCACAACCTGACAAAGCGGATCAGATAGATAAACTTGATTATCCAGAATTTCCCTCTTCACCGTTTAATTTCCAACCGTTGCATTCTACCACGGGATATCGCCCTACAAAGAAATCTCAATCGAATACAAGACCCAATGGATCAAATCAATATGGCCCTAATAAACCTGGAGGATTGGATGAGGCTAATGGTCTTGACTATCCAGATGAGTCTTATTCTTCACCGTTACCTTCGAAGATTCCTCTACGTCCCAACAAACCATCGAACGGTGGATCGGACGGATCTGACGGATCGAATCCATATAATTCTAACAAGAATTCTTTTCCAACATCAAATGAGTTTGATGAGTTCGGATCTCCCGATAATCTTAACCGACCTGATCGAAGTCCACAAATACCCGATAAATATGATTATCCGGATGATACGCACGTGTCGTTACCTAATAAAAAGCCCGCAAGAGGCGACATTGGAATCCAGAGCCTGGATGAAAGAGGTGAGTGAGATGTAAACGGATATTAAATTGTTTGACATTGTTCGAAATTTAACGCATTCTCATGAAAAATATTTTCCAGTCTGCCAGACCGACGATCGAATCGTGAAAACCTTGAACGAATTAATCAACGTCACCAGGAAACTCGGGAGGGAACTAGAACTAAATGTGAGTAAAGCAATTAATCTTTAGATTTTAAATTAATATCCTTGTTATGCATGCACACATTGCATGCGCGCGCACACATATTCATAGTGTAATAATATTAAATTAAGATTAATCAAACATGTTGAATGTATATCATTCTCTATTGTTTTGCTTCAAATAAATAATTGTATAAATTAAATTTAAATGATTATAGAAACTGAAAATTTAATATTTTTATTACGATACGAAATTGACGTTTCATCATTAAGATACGTTGTAAAAAGAAACGCCAGCATTATTCATTATTTATAAAAAAAAAAAAAAAAAAAAAAATTAAAAAGCAAAATTTTACTGTTAACTCGGTCCCTTTCACACGAGTGTTTGACCAATCAACGAAAAACGCACGCTAGTATTTGCCCTACACTCTTCGAGCAATCCGATTGGATGCTACAGTGACTTTTCTAAGAGAAACTGAGGTTATATATTTCGTTTAACAGTTAAAGGTCGACATAGGATTAGAGGTAAAATAAGCGCGTTTGCACATTGTTACAAACTAAAAGTTGAAACGTACGAGTTGTAAAAAAAAACCCCAGCATTATTCATTATTTAAAAAAAAAAAAAAAAAAAAAAAATTGCAAAGCTAAAAGAATTTATCCAATTCATTGTCTGCTGTTTTATAGAGGCAGGAAACACAACATCTTCGTCGATTGATCGAAAACTGCGCGGCGTGTCGTACACCCATCGGTGAGTGACGTTCCGTCGTATTGAAAGGACACGTGCTCGAAAATAACAGTTCTCTTAACTTAGAAGCTAGCCAAAATCGCACCGTAATGTCAGTTGAATGATTTTATCTATCTATCACTCTCGCGTCCTTGACACCCTCGAATTTAATCTGTACGTGTGGCAGTTGTCAACGGAAATGTCTATTTATAATGCAACGAGTTGTATTAAGCAATCTTACAACGCAATAAATGCCTGTTGTTAGAAAAATTCAACTTTGTTGTGACTCTTGTATTCTTGCGTGTTGCGCAGTCCAACATATATTTTTATTTAAATATCTCTTTTAACGTGTGGGCGGGAGCTAATGCGTTTAAAACACGATGCTTGCATCCGCAAACGCTCGATATAAACGACGCTATTTTTTTCTTGTTTTTCCGTGACAAAAGATCTTATCGTAATATAACTATCGAGAAAATTCTCTCGTAAAATGACATATTCGCTTTTCGATATCTATCTGTTCGACTTCTATCTATCGACAGAAATTAGATTAAAATTAGACAGCTTTACAATTGCATCATTGTCGTTTTCGCATTGTCCCTATTCTAAGCAAATAGAGTATGCGCAAGAGATTCACGACATCGACCCTAAGTCGATCTCGGTTAAATACACGCTCACACGTATACCATTTGCACGTGCACGTACGACACGCTGGGGCGTCGCATAATTTTCCGGGGGTCCGTGCCGGGCCCGCTCGACGGACGCGTATGGGAGATCGGAGACCGAAAATATCCCGAAAAATTGGCAAATTCACTCAATCGTCATTCGAGCCGTGATCCCGGTAATTCCCGTAGTGCCATCACCGCCGCTCACGTGCGATCCTTCACCGTGCTACCCCGACGTCGAATGCCGTCAGACATCGAGGGGACCTCAGTGCGGCCCCTGTCCCCGCGGTTATACCGGAAACGGACGGACCTGCACCAAAATCAACGTCATCACCTGCATCAACCGGCCGTGCTTCCAGGGAGTGCGTTGCTACGATGCCACCGACGGTTACAAGTAAAATTGCCACCACGCATGTTGTCCGAATTTGTAAAATAAATAAGATAAAAGCAAGAGTTTCCAAAAAAATCTGCAATAATATGCATCTTGTGCAATAATGAATATCATGTTTCACGAGAAATCATACATTGCATTTGAGTATAATTCCCGTTTCCAGATGCGGTAGATGTCCCATTGGATACGTCGGCGATGGCGAAAGATGCGACAGGCATAGAAACCCTTGCGAAACTCATCCCTGCCATCCGGAAGTCAAGTGCTATCCGATTTACAGTCCACCATATTTCAAGTAAACATTAGCGGCATACTTATATATATATTTGTAGTCTTACTTAACATCAATTTATTCAATTTTTTTCTGAAAAAAGCGACACAAAGGCTCGTTTTATCGAAATGCGAATTAATAAATTTTTAGCGCGTATAGAGAGAGAAAGAGAAATTATAAAAAATGATATAATTAAATCTTTACGTCTCTCTTTAACTCCGCAATCTCTTTCTTTATTTTGTTATTTTTCGACTAAACAAGACACAAAGAGATATTTGAATATGCACTCTCACCTCATGTTTTTTAATCAATTTTAAACGTGATACAGATGCGGTCCGTGTCCATTGGGATATGTGGGTAACGGCACGGTCTGTCACGACGCCAACGAATGCGAGCTGGCTCGACCTTGTTTTCCCGGAGTACGGTGCATCAATCTCCATCCCGGATACAGATGTGACAGATGTCCGCCAGGTTACACCGGACCTACGACGGAAGGTGTCGGTATTGAGATGGCCAAGACAAAAACACAAATTTGTCGGGATATAAACGAATGCGAAATCAACAACGGCGGATGCCATCGTGATTCGGAATGCATCAACACGGAGGTAAGAAATTTTTGAAGATTCTAAATTATGATTTGCAGAGAAATGAATTCTTATTTTTTGTCATACGTTTTAACTGTTGCTCGTTATTTCTATAAAGGGATCCTATAGATGTGGTCGCTGTAAACCCGGCTACATTGGTAATCAAACAGTGGGATGTCATCTTCAACAAGATCTCTGCCCGGATATGGTAACAGTCTGTGACATCAACGCCAATTGCATTGCCGTGTATTTCAACGAATATTCGTGCAAGGTAAATGTCGCTGCAAATATCATTTAAAGAAAATTTTGTAACGATACAGATTAAAATTTATACATATAAAAACAAACTTCTAGAAATAATAGTATTTAAATGAAACAGAAAAAATAGAGCACAATTTTACGGAGAATTTTTATATAATTAAAATGTATATATTTAATAAAACAAACTTGAGAGAAAGATACATCTAGGAAAATTATTTTTAAAAGATTAAATTTGCTTTAAAAGATGTGTGAATCTTTTTGGGAAATTTTTCATATTTGTAATTCTTAACTAAACTTGTAGAATTTCAATCTTTTATTTACAATTATTTTTCACTTTATAGATTTAAAATTAGAAAAGAACGATGCTACGTAAATTGCTCCATGTTATCTAATTTCATCGATTAAAACAGAACATTAAAATACTTTGATGCGTCCTTTGCAGTGTCGCACCGGTTGGGCCGGAAACGGATTCACCTGCGGTCCTGACATCGATAGCGACGGTATCCCCGATAAGAGTCTGCACTGCCACGATCATCGCTGTCGTGTCGACAATTGTCCGACGATACCGAACAGCGGGCAAGAGGACACCGACGAGGATGGAATTGGCGATGCTTGCGACGACGACGCCGATAATGACGGCGTATTGAATAATGCTGACAATTGTATATATCTTTATAATCCGAATCAAATGGACATGGACAAAGACAAGATCGGCGACGAGTGTGACAACTGCCCGACAGCTCCGAATCCGAAGCAGCAAGACTTAGACGACGATAGCATAGGCGATGCGTGCGACAGCGATATAGACGGTGACGGTAATTATCGTTATGTTTAATTCTCAACGTTAAAAAAATATTTTCAAGTTTTTATGAATTAAATAGAAAGGCAGCAAAAGAGACATTCCGTATTTTTTCGTCGTTAAATAATGATTACTGACTGTATTGTTATCTATAATCAACGCGAATGTATACATACTATATACTTATAATATTTTAGGTATCGAAAATATTCAGGATAATTGTCCCATGGTGAAGAATCCTAATCAGCGTGACACCGACATGGACGGCATCGGCGATGCTTGCGACAATTGTCCGAGTATTAGCAATCCCGATCAGGCGGACACTGACGGCGACGGCGTCGGGAACGTTTGCGACACCGACACGGATTACGACAGGGACGGTGTTCAGGACGACAGGGACAATTGTCCGGATGTGGCGAATCCCGGACAGAACGACCTCGATCACGATAACATCGGCGACGAATGCGACAATGACATTGACGGCGATAATATAATCAACGGGATCGACAACTGTCCTTATGTGTACAATCCGGATCAGCTTGATATTAATCGTGAGTTTAAACAAGTTTTTCCTTGTAACAACTACGTGATTTTGCTACGTTGAGGGGATAAATAAGTTTATTTACTATATCAATTACGTAACGTAAATAAAACGTAAAAAACAAATACGCAAAATCACATATTTAAAAATCTTAATATCTTTCTTAATTTTGATACAATGATAATTATATATGCTATCTATCGTACAAGAAATCGATTATTATTATTATTATTATTATCTGACAGAAAAAAAAAAAATCGGACAAACAATTTTAAATAATATAATAAATATTTGCAGAAAAAAGACATATATGTGAAAGGAAACTAATTATACTCTCTCAAATGGAATCAGTATATTATCATTGATAAGCAGTAGTTCCAGTTATAAGTACAGCACAGTGAAATCTCAGCTAAGAAGAATTAGTTAGTAGTACTGATTAATTTTTCAGTGAATCTTACTACTCTAATCAATGAAATATAAAATAGAGAAGCGAAATATGAGTGTTTGCACTGAAGATCACTGAAATATTCACTGATCTTCGGTAAAATCCTGTCTGCTTAATCAGTAATATTTTCACTGATTCAGTTTAAGACAGTACGTGATGATTGACATTGTAACGTGTATTATTTATATTTTGCATGTATAGACGACGGTATCGGCGATGCCTGCTGGAATGACAACGACAACGACACGATTATCAACTCCCGCGACAACTGCCCCAACAATAGTTTAATATGGGCGACGGACTTTCGGAAATACAAGACCATCCACCTCGATCCGTTCGGCACATCGCAGGAAGATCCTGCATGGAGAATTCATAACGACGGAGCTGAGATTTGGCAGCTTCTCAATAGCGATCCTGGAATCGCTATAGGTAAATTTATTTTTATCGTAAAGACATATATACAGGGTGCGGCATTTATAGTGACGCGGGCATATTTTTCGGAAACGAAGTGAGATATCAAAAAATGTTTCAGACAAAAGTTGCATGGTTTCGAGGGGGCCACATGATAAAAATATGGATTTTACTTTAAGTGGTCTTTTCAAGGAGAGGTCAATGTGGTCGATGTTTATATATACTCGTATATTTTTCAAAACTTTATAAAAATTTTCCCTTACCGATAATTTTTATATTGTTTCTTCAAATTCAACAAATATGAAAAAAAACGTATAAAGCTTCTTATTAATTATTAATTAATTCTACAGACTATTGCACTCGTAAATTCTTTTCATCCATTTCTTTATCTACATCAAGGGCCGGATGTGTTTACTGGCGTCGATTTCGAGGGAACCTTTTACATCGATGACAATGACGACGACGACGATTTCGTGGGCTTCGTTTTTGGCTATCAGGATCCTCGACATTTCTACGTTGTTACCTGGAAGATGGGCGCGCAGGTCTACTGGATAGGGTCTCCGTTCCGCGCCCAAGCCGAATCCGGGATTATATTAAAGCTCGTTCAATCCGAAACTGGACCGGGCGAGATGCTCCGAAATAGTCTTTGGCACATGTACGATACTCCCAATCAGGTGAAGGTTCTCTGGAGAGATCCAAAGAAAATGGGCTATCAGCAAAGGGTGTCGTACAGATGGTATTTGACACATAGGCCAAAGATTGGCCTGATCAGATTCTGGTTATATCAGGGGACGCAATTAGTAACTGATTCCGGAAATTTATTCGACTCGACTTTGCAAGGCGGTAAAATAGGTGTCTATTGTTTCTCGCAGGCTGGAATCATCTGGTCTGATTTACTGTACAAGTGTGAAGGTAAAGCGAGCAATTTCTGTAAAATACGCTACAAAACATCGCAATCGGCAATTTTAAGAATTCATCATTTAAAGAAAATTATAAAAATGTTTTTTGGTTATCATAGTAAATATAATAAATATTTTTTTTGTCATTATAGTAAATATAATAAAGATAAGATAATCATCATACATATGCACATAAGAAATAAATGCCACAAAAATTAACAGAAATTTTAAAACAATTACAATTGGTGTGTGTATGTGTCTATATATATATATATATATAGCTAAGAAATTAATGTTATTTTCAGAAACTGTGCCTCGATCCATATGGGACGAATTACCTGATAAACTAAAGAAAGAAGTTCAAGTGGGAATTGAAGCAGGTCACCAACAGCAAATAACAAAACGAATGAATTACGATTTCTAAAGCAGATTCTCGGTGAAAAGAACGAGTCAATAAAGAGCGCAGGGATTACGAGAAAATTTAAAAGTCTCCGTAATTTTAATTCTGAAATAATCATGGAGCCATATCTATGCGAATTATAATATTTGCTATAATCAATCGCCAAATTACAATTCTTTGTGAGAAGTTTTGTACATTTCTTAGATATATATAGACATTTTGTAACACAGTTATTTAATATTGCAGAATATATGTGTGAATATTATACCATATTTCTTCTATTTAACCTATTAATTAATTTTTATTGTATCGGAAACAATTATTCAAATATTATTTTACCTCAATTCCAATATTAGTATAAAACGAAACGTATGTACATTTTATGCAGATATGAGAGAAATACGAAGTCGCGATACACATCGATTAATATATATCATAATCTGAAATGTATAAAATCATAATGATTTTAATCGTTGCAATTCTTTTTATCTCTCTAAGAAATGCAACTTTCGTAAAAACTATTTTCGTACTTTAATAATAGAGCAAAATAAAGTATTAATCGTCATATATATATCTCCATGGCATCTCGTTATTCATTTCATAATCATTTCACCTTCCAATATATGCAGCATCAACATTACATGAAATTATATAGGAAGAGCATTGAACTTCTTTAATCTCTGGAAAAGATAATTGAAAAGGGTTAGTAACAAGATAATTTAAAGCGCCCAATGTTTTTTCTTCGATTAAACACTTTATTCGTATGAAAATGTCAAAGAAAGATACGATATTAATAATTTAACGCTGAAACTCCGATCACACACATTCTCGTAACACATCTAATAGAGTATGTTTTACAGATTTCATCGACAACGGTTACAGAATTATATGCGAGGAAATGATTCGAGAGAATAAAACTTAAAGAAATTTTATATATCGCTTGGCGAGTCGTGAGAGCCAAGAACCAACGCAGAACCGCAGAGATTTGACTGAGGTGAGAAACCAACGAAAAAGAGACGCGACAGAATGGATTGTGTGAGGTATTAAATACGAATTTATTTGCTTCGCTCAGACAGACGTGACACTGAGGAATTAACTCGAACGATCGTATAATTTTCCCTAAAGTTAATGATCCTTATTGAAATTGACGTAAACAGTCTTCTTACAATGCTTGTTCCCTTGCGGCTTTTACAATAATTTCGAGACGAGAAATTGCGAAACTGTCGATCGCCGTCGCCGCGATTACCGTGACGGCCTTCTTCTATCCTGCCGCCCTTCGAAGGGCACCCTCTTTCTCTCTCTTCTTCCTAATCCGCGCTCTAAATTCGAGATATCGATCATCCCCTAAACGCGTGTTCGCGCTAATACAAGAATTGGATCGTGCGACATATATGTAATATTATATTATATACGATATATATATATATATTTATATATATATACATATATATACATATCTCGGATATATAATATATATATACACGAGAGAGGTGGTTCTAACTAGAGAATAAATTATTAAAATCTACGCATAAAATCGTATTAATAATCGAGGCGAAACAGGAGAGGGAAAACGTTCCTTAATTATCTACTTATCTATTTACACTAGGGAACGAAATGCACGAGTGTGACTCCGCGTCGTCCGCGATTCGAAGCTTCGCCTTTATACGATAAAACGCGAAACTCCGCGCGCGCTCTATCATCATTTTTTTCTAGAATAAAATTGCGTTCGCCGACGCGACGCGCGCGTTGTGGCAGTGGTCGCCCAGAACTCGCTGATTAAGGCAGTTGGGCACGCCTTGAACGGAAAGGAGATTAGTTGAGAGTGTCCTTCGCGAAAGGACGCTTCTCGCAAAAGGATCGACTTTGCGGTCCAGCAACGCGCTGACACTCGATTGGGAGCAGTCTTTGTTTCCAAGATCGCGTGGAAGGTCATTGCATCATCATCATCATCATCATCATCATTATTGTAATCTTCGTTGGCAAGGCGCTTACAATCAATGTCGACTCTATCAGATGATGATTTGATAAACCGTCCAACGACTTTTCTGGTCTGCACTAAGAGAGGTCAGCTTGTAGGCAGGAAAAGTTGTATGATTTTTCATTATGTAAAACTATGCGCCAACGATAGCGTCTATTTTTACCAGCATCGCACTCCGTTAAGTTAAGAGAGTATTTTCGCGATGTGAGGGATCTAAACGACTTTCAACTTTATCAGCGCAAATGGTGAACGAGCGTTAGTGACGTACGCGCTTGATAAACGAAAGTCGAATAGCGATATTCTTAATTTCTATCAAAAATAATAACATTAAAAAGTGACATAGGCATAGAATTTAAAAAAAAAAAAAAAAAATACAAAGGATCGGATAAAAAGACGAAGATATCGCGTTACGCTTTTAACGTATTTCGACATAAATACGAATGAAAACAATTCACTTCTTTAAAACTAGAAATAGATAGAGGAAGGACTTACAGAAATTACCATTAAAATTGATGCTCGATGAAGTCGACCTTCAGACTTGTGTTAAACGCAAAATCCTTAAACGCAGATTGTTTTCAATGAGAAGCGTCGAGGCAATCGTGTTATGTGTGTGTGTGTGCGTGTGTATGTGCGCGCGCAATATTAGCGCGCAAATAATCCCTTTGCCATTTCCAAATGGCATTCCGACACTTACCGTGCAAACAACTTATACTCCTCGATTGCGACTCTTGGACGCGATCACGCGTCTCTTTGTTCCGTTCAGACTCGCATTTTATGCAAAAGTCGCTCTTTGCTTATTTAAGTGCTTTCCTAGAAACTGACGTCTTAGTTCGCGACGCTGGAATGTCTTTGAAGTGTTTTCGACAACGCGAAAGGAACGTCTCTAAATTAATATTCCTCGCGACGGCATCGTCGAATCGACTCGCTGATTCGAGACTTTGGAAGAGAACTCTTATCTAACGTTTCGAATAAATAATATCTACCGTAAATGAAAGGAAGATACGTTTTAATGGACGCGTGGATTTTCATCGATACGTTCGTCGATCCATCGCGCGTATTCTTATCGCCCTCTGGAAAGAACAAATCATCGATCACGCGGGTAAACCGTGCGCAAGTATAAGCATCATCGAAGATACGATAAAGACTCGATAAAAGATTCTTTACTTATCCTGCACACAGTATTTCACAATATGCTTCGTCCGTCCTCTCTTATAGAGCTTCACCGACCAATGGTCCATCATCGCGAGCTAGCGAGGTCACAACAGAGGACGAACGAATTAATCGTGCTCGATATTAAATTAATTACACCGAAAATACGAATGATAATAACGTCACTTCGTGTCGGCAATCTCTCGAATTGTCTTCTCCGAACGACAAAGCATCTTAGCGTTGTTTCTTCGTTTTCATATCACGACGATCGCTACCGTCGATGGGCAAAGTGCCGAACGTAACCTCGGGTCACCAGGCCTCCGTGTATCGAACGTCAAATTCTTGCAGAGCTGGCAATCGTTTCTTCAGCGACTCGAATGTCTGGGCCGACAGCTTCGTGCTGTTTAAATTCAGCTTTCTTAGGCTGGTTAATGCTGCAACAGAGTGGAAAAGCACCTTCTTTTCAAGCGATAAATTTAAAAATTTCGTCAAAATAAATCAAAACTCGAATAGTTAATATATAAGAGAGAATCGATATATATATATATATATGTATATTAATTGAGATTTGATATTAGAAACACATTAATCCAACATTTTTGCATTCTTTTCATCGCACGCGATATGATATGTTTGCATTCTTGATATGATGATTGTTTCTAATCAATCGCATGCTTTTCAATTTACAACTCTTGGCCTTTGATAAGTAAAACTTGTATATATAGTCAACCCTTAGCCGATAGACATTTTTTTTTTAAATTAAGCTTAATCTGCTTCATATTTTAAAATAATTAATTAACAATTTCTTAATTATTAATTTTTTCAAGTCACGCGATTTAGATTATTACCGAATTCTTAGAGTCTCGGAATCAGGATACCTACAGGCCAACGTAGAGATGCCTTTGTCAGATACGGGCGTCTCGCAGAGATTCAGCACCTGTAGCTTCTGCAGATGCTCGCTGATCATCTGTAGGCCGGCGTCGCCGAATTGCGTGGCCCATAGATTCAAATATCGCAGCGCCGGCAGCTTGATCAGCTGTTCCGCACACGCGGACGTCACGGAGGTGAAGGCTAAGCTGAGGCACTCGAGATTACCGAGGGCACGACCGCCCAGCAGAAGGGCGACGTCGGCGTCGGTCGCACGTACCGGCAGCGTCAGTTTACGCGGTCCGCCCTTTTGTTGCTGGCAAGAACGAGATCAAATGCGCGTATATGAGCGTACATGAGCGTGATAAGAGAGCCTACGTTTTATCGTCGCGTTCGTGCAAAAGAGCGAGAACACAAAGACGCGACGCGTGCAATTTTCCGCGCCGTCTAACGGAATAAAACGATTCGCGACGACCCTTACCAGCTCCTGTAGATTCTTCTGCCTCTGGCACAGAGCGGCATAGCGCTCCTTCCCGGATTCCGTAGACTCGAGCGCGTTGACTATCTGAAGTCTCGCCTCCTCGTTCGGCAGTAAACGCCACTCGAGCATCAAGCAGAGCGCTTCCTGCGCGGCATCGCAGCCCCGTACCGCCAGTAAAATGCAATCGTCCCCAGCCTGCTTCAGCAGGGACGCGATGAACCTCTTTCGCCGACAGCAACATGCCAGCAGAGTTGTCAGCTATTGTCAAAGTAGCGATTTAGTATTTACGCGTTTGCGTAATATTTTTTGTGTATTATAAATAAATTAGATAGGAAATAAATTTCTTTTTCGATTTGTGTTGTCTCTGTTAAAATTCCTCGACGATAAAATCAGCTATAATCGAGAGTAAAATTTATCCGATTGAATTTATCCATCGTGATGAATGCGCGGGAGAAACGCTTTCCGATACCCCATTCATTTTCCCGCAATCATCCGGCAGACCTCATTAATTCCGCACGGCGGCGGCGATTCAGTTCCGTGGTTATATTCGAGAGATTGGAATGGATGCTGCCAATACAGCTACCATTGAAGTCGCGCGCGCGCCCGTAGCCTCAAAAGAGGCCGATTCATGAATATTCAGATAGACCTCCGATCGAGTCGCCGTGAGAATAATCGCCGCTCTATTCCCTCGAGAGATGAATCGTTTCTGAACAACAAATCTTATTGTTGGTGTTATCGCGCGGTGGCCGGGAATTCGAAACGCCTGGCTCGCGAGATTACGATACACTGA